CTTATTTATTTTTCAGGGAGTTGGCAACCCTACTACGGCAGCCGTAATGCTCTGACGATCCATCAAGCAGTGCTGCTTACCAAAGTTACACTAAAACATTTTTAACAGATTTCTGCAGCCAAAATCGGTTCGAGGTCAGTAAGCACAACCAGAATTCATACATAAGGTAGACTCTCGATTTTTGAGAAAATTAAAGGATTTTAAGTCCTTATAGTGTGGAAAATACGTTATACAGAAGAAAAGAATATATCGCGATATATATCGTTACCACACGTGCTTCAAATTATACCGCGATATGGATTTTAGGCCATATCGCCCAGCCCTACTGCTGAGAGATAGTGGCGTTCCCGGGACAGACGCCAGACACGGGCCGTCCTGGAGGAGGCAGAAGGCGTAAACATCAGCACGCTAGTGAGGACGCTGAGAGTCATGTGACCAACATGAGGCTGACACCAAACAGATTAGTTTAAGTGTGTGTCTGCGTGCGCGCGTCTGCGCGTGTGTTTTACATCCTCGGCTGAAACTGGATTTAATCACTTTGTCTTTCTGTTGTCTTTTTCCCAGGATGCTTTGCTCAGCTCTCTGCTGGACGACCCCTACCTGAGCCTGCAGCTCACCGGCAGATCTGAGCAGCAGGTAAAGGAGTAATGTCACATGTTTGAATAGAAGGAGCTGATTGGTTGTCAGTATAGCTGCAGGGTGTTTGTAAGAGGAGCTGAGATCGTCTGAGCATGTGCAGAGGAGGGAGGGTGGAGGATGAAGGTGGAGAAGAGAAGGAGGTGCAGAGGGTGGGTGGGACAGAAGGAGATGGAGGCAGATGATTGGCTGTGGAGCTCAGGTGGAGGGTAGAGTTTCATCTGTATTCTGTAGCGTGGTTGGTTAAAGAGGTTAAAGTTCATGCTTCTTCAGGTTTTGATGATTTTGAGGATGACCCTCCTGCGCCGTGACAGCCCATCTCAGTTCTGCGCAGCGTCTCTATCGAGTCACGTGACCTCAGCTTTCTCTTCCCGTTGCAGTTCGCCACAGAGACCCAGGCCGACATGCTGTCCCTGAACCACAGCGGTCTGAGCTGCAGCGCAGACAAGAACCAGTTCCCCTCCAACAGCCAGGGGGCGCTAGACCTGCAGGACCTCAGTGACCAGCAGCTCCTCAACAATCAGAACCAGAACTTCAGCGGCAGCGACGGACGACATAACGTGCCCAACATCATCCTCACAGGTCAGTGAGACGCGAGCGTCGTGTTTTCTGTTTGTTTCTCCTGCACGCCTCTAAACCCCTCCCCCTCCGTCTGCAGGCGACTCTCCGACGGGCCTGTCCAAAGAGATCGCCAGCGCGCTGTCCAACGTCCCCGGCTTTGAGATGGACTCCTTCTCGCTGGATGACCAGCTCCGGATGGACCCGCTGTCCCTGGACATGCTGGAGGGCAACCTGATGCTGGCCGACCCGGCCGTGGAGGACTCCTTCCGCTCGGACCGGCTCAAGTGACGCCGCCGACGCTCCGGGAACGGCGCCCGCACCTGGAGAGGACTCCACCCTTCCGTCGCTCCCCCACAGCCGGTCTGTCGAGCGAGCTTTGGAAGAATGCGCCTTCATCGATGAAGGAGCTGACATCTGTGTTGGGGGAGGGATAAACTGAAGGAGGCGGAGCCTCACTGTCAATGGCACTTAAACTGAAAACGCTCTCGCTTGCTTGAAGTCAGAAACCTGCTGCAGCTTTCTGACCACACCCGGCCATCATGATGGCGTCACGCCACAGGAGCGGAGGCGTGAGAGCGGTGTGGAAGCCACTTTCTGCTCTGACAGCTACTTTAACAGGAACTTAGCCATGACCCCTGACCTTTGTCCTCTGACTTCTGACCCCTGACCGTGCGTGCTGCTTCTGCTCAGGCTGCTCCGCTCTTTTATGCAGAACTCATTTTGACGTGTGAGCATGCTCCGACCCGCCCACCTTTACGTTGCCTCTGACTGGACACGAGCGTCGACCTACAGCAGCTGAGCGTTGCCGAGTTTTATCCCGCCGAGGCTCGTCAGGAGAACACGCCCCTCAGCTGGAGAACTGCCGTGGCTGCACGAAGTCTGTACATGAAGAATGGACACACCCACCATGTCCCGCTTCGGCGCTGTGAGTCGACGCATCCCGTGTCATCACACGATCTGCTTGCTCTTCGGCTTCTCTGTGTGAGTGTCAGCTGAAGGCGGAGCATCGACGGCGCCTTTGACCAGCTTACGTCTGTCTGTTACATCCACATTCCCGCCGCCTGCAGATGGTCAGCTGACCTTTGAACCCAAAGTGATGCTTTTCAAAGAGGAGCGCGAGCCTTCCTCCTCCTCGTGTGTTTTTATGAACTCAAGTATAAAGTTTTTATTTTTGTAAATAACTCAGATATAAAAATCATATTTAAGAAGAAGGCGTTTAGCTCGCCGCCACCGTTGTGAGATCAGCCCGCACGGCCGCCTGACCGCTTGAAGGTCGAAGCTCGATGCGCTCGCCCAGGATGGCGAGGTCCCAGCACAGTCCCAGCCCCGCCTTAAAACAAATGTAAGAGCGCGTTATCAACACATGTGATTGTGATCAATCGGAGCCTGACAGGAAGCTGCACGACTACAAAATCTCTTTCTGTTTTAAACAGATTTTATTTTATTCTGAAAATGTTTGAATGAATTTAAATTTACGGAAGTTTCACGAGGAGCGAAAAACAAATATAAAAGTCGTACAATTACGAGGAAAATTATTTTTAAATGTTTCCTCGTTTGCTGCTTTAATCTGAAAATTCGACATCATAACCAAAATAAACAAATGGATTATTAGAGCCGCGTTAATGAAAGCCGCCTGATGAGGTTTATTAGAAAAGATAATTTATAATCCTGAAAGGATAAATGTTTTTTATATTATAAGATATTCCATCATGGCCCTGACGGGCTGCCGTAGGAACCACCCCGAACAATTAAAACACAATCAAAATCCTTCCTGTTTCAGCCTGGAAGGTTCTGGGAAACCTTGAGTCCAAAGCAAGCGTGTTGGGGGAGGAGCTTCAGAGCAGCCTTGCTGGTTTCAGGAGGTCGGGAGGCGACGAAGGTGAGGAAGAGCAGTGGGACTGGAGGTTCAGGTGTATCTGCTTCCCCCTGCAGGTCGCTCACAAGATAAAGGTCACAGTCGAGGACGGGAAAAACGAAATGAAGCTGATCTCTGAGGACCTGCAGACAAGCTCCTCCCACCTCAGCCCGGCCATCACGAGCAGCAGCCGCTCCAGTCATTGATCGATTGACCTCGTCCTTCAGTCTCAGTGACCCGAGGCGAGAGGTCAGCTTTCGCTCCGTCGATCAATACCTGATCAGCTCATTGATCGCCACCTGATCTGATCAATATGTTCACACTGACAGGCTGCCGTAGAGCAGCCAATAAAAATGCACCGCACTTCGCGTCATCACAGGCGTCAGCCAATCAGGTCACGTCATGAAAATCCCAAGAAGTCAAAGTGCTGCACTCGGGTCTGGACGTGTGATCTTTGCACCTCCTCCTGGAGGAGGTGCGGCGGCGCCCTCGGGCCGCGGCGGCGCCTGTGTCAGGACCACCGCAGGTACAGAAAGATTAAAAAGCTCGAATATTTTCTGAGATTAAAGCCGTAATTTTATTAAAATGCTTTTTTCTACTTTGTAATATTCTCTCAGATTCAAAAATATAATCGGACACGTTTCACAGGGTTAAATCTTAAATATTTCTTCTTCTAGTTTTCATTTAACAATAATAAATGACTCATTTTGAAAAGCACTTCCTGTTCCAGGCTGTAAAGTTCTGCATAATCTGACCTCCACTCTCACTCCAAACGCTAAGGCCTGATTGGTCAGCTTTTGGAAGCCTGCAGAGGAGCAGATGACCATATAAGGATGTCAGCCGTCACAGAGGCAGAAAAATTTTTTTAGAGAAAAGCTCAGAGGTGACTTTAGTGTTTATAGATGAAGCTTTGATCGTGTCGCCGTTCGCACCATGCATACAAATAAAAATATGAAATATTTTATTAAAAGTTTCTTTGGTGGAATCGGAGACGCCTTCATGTTCAGCAGCAGCGTTTCTTTTTTCTTCTTCTGTTAGAATAAAACCAAAACGCGTTCGATCAAACGGACGGAGAAGCTTCGTGCGGCGATCCTGGAACAAAATCGTGTTTTACTTCCTGTTTAATGTTTTGTTTTGTTTTTCCTTTCATACGACGTTCAGTAGGTCAAAAAGTTCAAAACTGAGGAAGAAATCCCAGAATTCATGTGTGCGTGTGTGTGTGCGTGTGCGCGCGCGCGTGTATGTGCGTGCGTGTGAGACTGTTTTCTTGTTATGCAATAACTGTGCAGAGTAAGCCTGCAGTTCCAGTCTCTGCCAGTGGAGGGCGCTGCTGACCTGTGTGTGGATTAGGGATCAGTTAAAGGCCATATTTCATATTTTTCATATTTTTTATTGATATTAATTTCTCTCATTAATGTTTATAGTTTTTTTCATGTTTTTTTTAGACTCCAGCGTTAACAAACAAAACGAGAACAGCTGAGCGCTCTGCGTCTGTTGCTTCATATTTGAATAATAAAGTTTGTTTCTATTGAGATTTTTATTGTCATAACCAGGGAACGTTGAGTGTTGTACATATGAAAACGTTTTGAACCCAGAGGTGTTTTTAAAGCGCAGCGGCTGGAGGTTCACCGTGTTTTACAGAAAATAAAGAAATAAAGCTGAAACTGAAACGCTGACTCTCTGTTTCTGTGAAAAGTTTAAGTATCACAGAGGTGTGATGCTGCTTACTCTGGGAACCAGTGAACATACTGGGAGGTGTCCCCATCTGTCCGTCATCACCCGTCTCAGACTTTCTGCTGATAACGAGCTGAAATATCTTCTTCTTTTTTTTTTGTCATTGAAGTCTTTATTTGTTTTTAACATTTAACCAAACAAAAACAAACCAACAAACAAACAACAACAAAGACAGCTTCCAGTCCCATGGTTAAGTCACCTTTGCATTTTGGGTCTATTTTCAATAGTTACTACCGGTACACACAAAAGGGACAATAAAATCAAATTCTCAAGTTATTCCCTTCCTGAGTGCCTGAACAAACATACAACACAGCAAGCATAAAGTTTACCTAAAGATAATTGCCCTGACAAAATAAAATCCAACCATCTCAGCCTAAAACACGTCCCCATGATTTGTCAAAACCCTCCCTGTCATCATTAATCCTAGCCAAGAATTTTTCGTACGACACCATTACAGCATATTTTCTTCCCCCCTATTATAGAGATGGTTCCTCCCACACACTGAGAATAACTCGGGCTGCTGCGATCACCCCCACCTTTATAACCACAAAATCATATTTTTAAACCCCAGGTAACACCGACCGATCCCCTAATAAGCACAGTCTTGGTGACAGGGGTATCATCAAACCAGTCCACCTTCCTATTCTGTCCAATACTTTTTGCCAAAAGGGACAAACTTTCCCACATTCCCAATAGCATGCATAAATGTCCCTGGATCTGAACTACATTTCCAGCATATATCACTGGGACTGATTCCCATTCTATAAAGTTTGGACGGAGTGAAGTACCATCTGTGTATTAATTTGTACTGAGTAAATGTACCCGTGGCCTCTCTTATATATTTATCAGAGAATGACAAAATTCTGCACCAGTCTTCTTTAGAAATTACACAACTCAGATCTCGTTGCCATATAATCCTCAAGTTCTCACAGATCTCTTTTTTTGGATTGTTAAACAGAGAACAGCTGCTCTGTGTGCTGAACCGGACAATTCTAAAAACTCCACCACCGTATTTGAGCTTTGAGTAAATTTTCCTTTACCCTTATTTGAAAATATTTCCAAAAAAGTTCCTCTTATCAAACCACATTTTTGGGTTATTTCAGTGAATGACGTAAACCCTCCTCCTGAGTAAAGATGACTCATCCTGTGTATGCCTTTGACAAGCCAATTCCTTCCAGAACACCGTGTCTGTACAGCGGTGTTGTTCCATAGCGATATAAGGTTGTCTTAAATGAGATGCCATTTATCTTATAACCTGACAACCTTGAAAATGACTCAACACATGTGAGTAGCGCTGGCAGAGACTGCATGGGATCCGTTAGTACTGCTAAGATGTCGTCAGCATATAGAAATAACGTGTGCTCCATACCCCTGCATGAACACCTCTGACATCCCTGTTAGCTCGAATAGCCAAGGCCAGTGGTTCCAGAAATATTGTGAAGAGTAGCGGGGACGAAGAACACCCCTGCCGGGTCCCGCGAGTGAGATGGAAAAACTCTGACACCAATCCATTTGTCAAAACTGCTGCCCTTGGACTTGCATATACAGTTTTGACCCAGTTACAAAACCCAGGCCCAAACCTGAACCTTGCAAGGGTTGTCATAAGGAAGCCTGCTCGGCATCAAGACCACAACTGGGGCTAGATTTGCTTTTGTGCATGAGATGAAGAAGTTTAATGTTATCAGCTGAAGACCTATTCTTAATAAAACCAACCTGATCACCATTGATGATATCTGGTAATATGTGATCTAAGCGGAAGGCCAAAACCTTCGTCAAAATTTTGCAATCGACTCCTACGAGTCTTACTGCCGGTAATTTGCCGGGTCATTAAACGTACTCGGTAAGGAGCCTATTTAGTGCCTCAAGATAAACTTTATCAAGACTGGAGCTAAAAGCCATCCAAGCCTGGCGATTTCCCGTTTTTCATGGATGAGATCGCAGCTCTGAGCTCTTCTTCAGTTATATCTTGTTTTCTGTTCCTCAGAAAGAGTCATTGTAGAGCTGAAAAAATGTCCTCACCTCCTCCTCATGAAGTGCACCAGCAGAGGTGTACAAATCTGATAAAATGATTTGAAAATTGAATTTATTTCTTTTGATGAGTAACCACTTGGCTGTCTTTCTTAATCAAAGATATATTATTTAAATTGTCTTGCTGCTTCGGTTGCCTCGCTAATAGTCTATCATTCTTTGTTTTAAGCCTAAATAAGGCATATTCCGTCTTTTTGTTATAAATGTCATTCAGCTGGTATTTATCATTTGAGTATTGTCTCGCTAAATCCTTCTCCAATTCGCGTATTTCTTTATGTAAAGTTTTTTCCCGTTCTAGATCACGTTTCTTTTGTCGCATATGTAATTATCTTATGCTTCGGACGCTTCCCAAACTGTGGCTACTTTATCTGTGGAGCCCATGTCAGGAGCCCAAAGAAAATTTTAAGCTCGTTTGTTAACTCCTCACTAAAACTGTTGTTCTGCAACAACATCGTGTTCAGTCTCCAGCGACCCGTCTTTGTTCTGTCTGTGTTTAAATCCATTTGCACCTCTATGATCACTAACAGCAATGGCACCATCTCACAGTCGACAACTGAATCGACCAAAGACTTTGATATTATGGCGAAATCTAACCTTGAATACTTTTTATGACAATTGGAGTAAAATGTATATTCCCTTGAACTAGGATTAACTAACCTCCAAATGTCCACTAGGCAAAGACCCTCCATCAGTAATCGAATAGCCTCTCTGCCCCTGGGTTTGTTCTTATTGATTATCTCCGGCCAGTATTACCTGCCCCTCACGATCACCTATTATCTTGTTAATTCTGTGAAAAAAATCTGGCTCTTCTTTATTAGGGCATAGAAATCACACAAAGCCACTCGGACCCCACTGATTAAAGCTTCCAAGCATATAACGCGCCCTTCTTTATCATTATATTTTTCAGCAACACGAAGCTTAATTTTGTATTAATAAGGATCAAAACACCATTTTGTTTACTTGAATATGAAAAACGGAAATATATTCTGATGTTATTTTATTCAGAACATACCTTTTGAATTTTCAGAGTATTATTATCTAAGTATATTTATGAACCCTTGAGAGAGATATGTTTACCTGGTTACTCGGGTGGGGGGTGTCTCACAGGAAGTGTGTGTCGAGTCTGCGTGGGTTCTCGCCCACAGGTGTGAGAGTGACTGGTTGTCTCGCTGTGTTAGCTTTAATATATAATAACATTAGACCATATCAAATGTAACGATTGTGTTAATTAATATGGCGACATAACGAGACTGTGGAATTTTGTTGTTGTGGTTGAGGGCCGTTTAAAATGATTTTATTTTGAAGGGGTTTACCGGAAGCTGTCGGCGCCGTTGACGCCGATTGGCTGCTTGCCTGCTGCGGCTCGTCGGAGCAGACGGACAAACATGGACGTCACATGTGAGAGAATGACCTGATCATGGACCGTAGAGCCCGCCGCGGGAACAACCAGCACCGACACACAGGTACCGGGGACCGGAGGGGCCGGGGAGAACGGGCCGTGCTTCACGCGCGACTCGGAGCGACCGCCGCGCTAGCTGCGGGTGGAACTAGCTTAACGGAACCGCGTTTAATGTCAACATCTACAGCTGCCCGGTGTGCGAACCGGGAGGAACGGAACCGCGCTCCAGCGGGCCTCGGTGGGCTCGCCGTGATCCCGCTGTTCGCGAAAGCGGGTCGCGTTGCGGTAAACGCGCAGAACGGGACTCAAAAACGAGCGCACCCAGGCGGCCATTCTCCGTCCGATAATGGAACCCATGTCCTGCTGGGGCCACTCGGCGCTCCGGCGGCGGCCAGCGTCGGTCCGCGGGCTCAGAGAAGGCCTAACCCGGAGCTATGTGGTGGTTTCACCGTGGTTCGGTTTTCGGACGTTCTTCAGTCTCGAACCTGTTTATTGAAGAGTGGAAATGACGCGTGCAGAGCCCTGTCCGATAATGGAACCCCGCTGGGATGTTGTGGAGGAGGTTTTGGATGTCCCGCAGCTGATGTCCCCCCAGCACCAGCACCTGTCTGCACACCTGTCTGTCTCCTTGTTGAACCTACGAGTCATGTTCAGCGGGGGACAAATTAAAGGAAAAGCCTGCATGAAGGAAGCTGCTGCTGCTTTCTCTTCTGCATCACTCCTCCAGCTCTGAGCTCCACCATCATCCTCAAACTCCTGAAGGTAGACAGGGCCCTCGAACCTGCAGCCACAAAGCCTGAGCTCAGGTGAAATCCACGGAGGCTCCTTCCTCCTCCTCAGTCAGAGCCAAGCTCACCTTCCCGTTCTTTTTCCTTTAATTTGTCCCTGTCTGTGTGTTGTAGGTTTGCTCTCATGGAGAACGAAATCATCAGATTATTAAAACGGACAAATCAGAAATCGGCACGGTGAGCTCGATCATCTGATCATCTGGTTGCCGGTTCGAGCCCCGGCTCGGACAGTCTCGGTCGTTGTGTCCTTGGGCAACACGCTTCACCTACCGCCTACTGGTGGTGGCCAGAGGGGCCGATGGCGCGATGTGGCGGCCTCGCCTCTGTCAGTCTGCCCCGGGGCAGCTGTGGCTGTAGCTGCCTCCACCAGTGTGTGAATATGAGAGTGAATGAACAGTGGCATTGTAAAGCGCTATATAAATGCAATCCATTATTATTTATTATTATTATTAAAACTGATCAATACCGATCGATCAGTTTGCTGCTGATACAAACAGCAATCAATAGATTCATATTTTCATTGTACGGCAGGTCAGCGATTAACAAAGGAGGAAAAGTGAACACGAGCAGCAACAATCGAGGAAATAAAAAATAAATGTATTTAAAATTCAATAAAATGTAAAAAAGAACTCAAAATAACTCGAACTGAAAATGAAATGTTAATAATTCTGATGTGAAACCAGCTTCATGCAAGTCACATGACTTCCTTCCTGAGGCCTGGCTTGGATGTGATTGGTCCGTGTGACTAGAACAGGTAAACGCAGCAAAGCTGCGGCGGCGAGGAAACCTGAGACGCCTGCAGGACGTGTCGCTTCTTGTAAAGAATTTGTAGCGTGTCAGACGCTGATAACATACCTGCTGCACACCTGAAGGCTGAAAACCGCCCAGACTGTATGATGTCATCAGAGGGCGTGGCCTTGTAGCAGTTATTTAAATAAGGCTCCTGATTGGACGTCTGTGGTTTTTTTGCTGACACGCTCCTGTCTCGTGTTAGAAATGAGACCTGCTGCTCTGACCTTTGATACGTGAAGGTGACCTTTAACCTTTACCTGAGCTGAAACGGAGCTGGTTACATATGAGCAGGTTATTACCATTGCAACCATAAAGGGGGCGTGGTCACACGCGTCTGCAGACTTGCGGCTCAGCATTCTTCCTGTGATGCGTTCACTGCCTCCGCGCTGAACTGGGACGCGTGAGCGACTCTGTTTCCAGGAGATTACGCAACGACTCAGCCTCCAACATTTGGACGGTTTCATGTCCCGAACGTTGCTGCGGGGCGTGAGCTGACAGTTATGTAACGGGACTGGTCGGGCTGACCTCTGACCTCTGTCCTCCTGTGATGGAAGTATTTTTGAACGGTCGCCACACGTCCGCGTTTTTAAAAAGGCCTCGGAGGTTTCCTGAAGCTGAAGTCTGCAGGGACTATTTTCAGCAGTGGATTGATCCACAGTCAGTGCAAGATGACTTCCTGTGACTGAAGTGGACTCAGAAGGGGGAAGCTGAACTTTGACCTCTGACCCGTTAGCTGTGCATGTTGTCATGGATTCAGCGGTCTGAGCGTGCTCTGCCACGTTGGCCGACGTCCAGAGTTTTTCCTTTAGAATAACACGAGTGAACTTGAGATCGATTTAGTGTGGCCTTTTAGAGCAGAGTCTGAGAAATGACCTCTGACCTCGGTGGGGAGGTGGGTGTCAGCCATGTTGGAACAACAACATGCAGAAGACACAGCGTGCGTGTTGTTGAGGAAAACGCCTGATTGGTCTGATTCCTGTGTCCCTCCACAAGGCGCAGTTCCTGCCTAACGCGCACGCTGCACACTCCCATGGATTAGCTTGCTGCCCCATATGTGGAGTAGACGGGATCGAACCAGCGACCTACAGCATCACCAAACAGAGGTCAAAGGTCATTCTTAGTCTGTTGAACCATGCAGGAGTCGCTCAGTCAGGACGATCACACCGCACACTCGGTGTTTGCCTGCAGCTGTCGTGTTTTGAATCTGTGATTTTATTTTGAAAGGGTAGCATATTTGTTTTGGGTTGGTATAACTTCCTGTTTTAGGGCAGACAGGAAGTCTGACTGCTGGCTCGGAGGAAGCGCAGGTTTGCTGCTTGGTGACAGTCAGCTGTTAGTTTCGTGCTCTTCAGTTTTTATTCTAGCGGCTCACCTGTGCACAGGTGCGTCAGCCGCTCTGTTTGTCCTTCAGTTTATTGCTGAGCCTCCAAACTTGATCAACACTAACACACACACACACACACACACACACACACACACACACACACACAGATCCTGTTTCAGGATGTCCTCTGTAATCAATTCCTGTCTCCTGCTGCTCTCTCGTGTCCTCCATGTTTATCCTCCGGTTCAGGCGCTCACCTGGACTCACCTGACATATATGACACTAACAATAACAACATGATCTGATGACTGTTTGTAAGCAGCAGACACTGATGAAGAGCGTTTTATTTCCTGTGCTGTCATTGGTGTTTCCTGATGTCATCACTGTTATCCGTGATGACATCATCGTCCTATATGGGACCAGGAGCTGTGGTCTGAGGTGTGACTGAAGCAGACGCCGAACCTTCGTCCTGCTGCCTGTTTGTGTGTCTCGGTTGTTCTTCTTCGTCACGGTTGCTGCATCATCATCATGTGACTTAATTTTGGAAGCTGGCAGTGTGTCCTCGGAGCTCCGGCGCTCTGTGGACAGACTAAATTTAGCCTCGTGTATCTGGACCTCCTTCCGTGCTGTCTGTGTGAGGAATATTCCGGATGCCGGTCAGAGTTTAAGGAGCAGCCGGAGCGTCGCTGACCGTCCCGGGCCTTTGTCACGATGCTTTAAATAGCTCTAAGCTCCGAGGGCCGAGGACGGGTTGGGATACGAGAGCAGCGCTTCAGTCACACGGACTGAAGGCGACTCAGAGTAACAGACAGAGTTCAGCTCCCTGCTGTCATCAGATCGAAGAATTCATTTCATTATGGACTGAATGACTTTGCTGCTGTGGATTCTGAGCTCAGGTGAGCACAGACGCGTCTCACCTGTAACTGGATGACATCACATGTACACGGCGGCTGCGTGACGGCGGCTGCGCTGTGGGGCTCTGAAGGAGGTGAGAGCTGCTGCGCTCAGGCAGCCGTAATGAAGAGTTTTAGTGTTTGTTTTAAAGAGACCACAGAAGAAGAAGGCCGGTGCAGTTGGAGTGACAGGCACTCAGTGACATCACGATGATGATGATGCCGGTCGGCTTCACTGAGGTTGTTCTTCAGAAAGCTGCACATCCCTGAAGCTCCAGAAGTGTGGAGCAGGATCAGAAGTGCGTCCTTCACTGTGTCCCCGTGAAACCACCTGATGACCCGATGACCTCACCTGTGCCTCAGCGAATCTCACGCACACATCAGAGGTTCTGGGTGGTTCTGAGGGCGGTCCCAGTAAGCTGCTCAGGCAGCGTGCTCGCTAACCTCTGATGCACGCTCTGTGGTTTTGTTCTGGTCCCTCAGCGAACTGCGCGTCGCTGAGTAATCACCTGACGTTTTTCGAGGGTGCAGAAAGCATCCAAGTAAAACTTGAGTGGGCGTGGTTCAGGTGCACATCAGCCCAGCTGATCACCGACGGTCAGGGTTAAAGGTCGGGTCTTATCCGGGTTAAATGTGTTTACGGTGTGGAGGTGAACTACTGAGCATGCTCGTACGGTTCCCTCGGTCTGCTCTCTGCGCCGTTCGGTATGACTAACGTTAGGTAACGGGCGCCACGGCCTCGGAGCGGTGGACGGGGGGAAGTTTAATGGTCTGACAGGAAATAAAAAATAAAATGTCAGACTGGGACTGGACGCTTCCTGATTGGACACAGGGTCACATGCTCGTCCTAACAGACCAATAACAATAGTGTTCTCGTCACCGACGCTCACGCAAACACACGACTCTTCCTGGGCTCACGCCCTTTTCCTGAGATCTGATTGGTCAGCAGGCGATGGTTTCTTACCTGTCGATCTCTAATCTCGAACGGTGAGGCGTGCGGCATTGGTTACCATGGTGATGTACCTGGTAAGAAGTGAAGCACCTTCGTAACACCCAGAGCCTGATGGGAAAATGTGAGCGAGTGACCGCAGCCGCAGGCAGTCATGTGACAGTGATGTCACTGAGGCTGCTGATGCCAGTGAGTGACTGCAGCGTGACGCCCCAGGAGACACAGAGACGCTGTGATTCAACAAACCCCACCCCCCCCCCCCCCCCCCCCCCCCCCCCCCCCCCCCCCACCCCCCCCCCCCCCCCCCCCCCCCCCCCCCCCCCACACCACCACACACACACACACACACACACACACACACACACACACACACACACACACACAACCCCATTCAGCTATCTTAGTGAGGACCTTCATTGACATAATGGTTTCCTAGCTGCGAACTCTAACCATGAATGAACGCCTGAACGTAAACCTAATTGTCACCCTGACACTAAAACCACAATTTGAGCCTCAAAAATGCCACACATGACACACACACACAGACACACACACACACACACACACACACACACACACACCACACACACAAACACACACACACACACAACAGACACACCCACTTCCTGTTTGCTGTCACCTCTACTTCGGGGGAAACAGCGCTGCTTTCACACCTTCCTGCCTCGCCGCTCGCGCTCACACTGGAAATGAAAGCTCTATTTTTCTCCCTCGCTGCACCGCTCACTTCCTGTGGCAGCCGCTCGCTCTAACGCGCTGCAGCGAGCAAGGCGTGTGACTGACAGCTCGTCAGCCTGGACGCACGGACCGATCCACGATCGCAGTAAGAGCCCGTTTTTGTTTGTTCGTGTGTTAGGCTTCCTCGCGCTCGTGGTCAGTAAAACCTCGCCGTCTTCTTAGCTCGGCACCTCGGCACGGTCCCGCCGGAGCTGCCAGATTGGTCGGTTTGGTGATCGATGCGTCGCTCAGCAGGAAGTGAAGCGTGCAGTCTGTGGAAGTTAGAGACCCGAGCAGAGCTCAGACACTCCTCTCACACACTCACGCTCACACACATGCAGTAAGGGTAACCTCTGGGTTCGAACAGAACAGCACACCTGAGCCTCACCTGGGCGGAGTCAGGCATCGACAGCTCAGGCGTCTGGCCCAAACAACACACCTGACATGTGGCTCACATCACCTGAGTCAGGTGTGACAGGTGATCAGCTGATGTTTGGTTTGCACAGGTGCAGATGTCTGTGCGGCGCAGGACGATGCTGGGATAGGAGCAGATGGAGGCAGGTGATTGGCTGTACCTGTAGGTCAGGTGACCTCCTGCTCGTGGTTCCACGTTTGTAGTACATAGTTTCATGTACTTTGGTGACCTCGTTACACACCTGTGTTACTTTCCCTCACGCCGTATCATCGCAGCGCTGACCTCTAACCAGCGTCAGGGAGCGTGAGAAAACCAGGCGCTTCTTCAGGTGTGCGAGACAAACCGCCGCTCGCAGCGGAGGAGAGGTTCCGGTTTCAGCTGCGATCGGGATTATTATTAACTGTTTCACTTCCTCTTAGGTGCTTCACTTCCTGCTGCGCTCGAACAGTTTGTTGAAACTGTTTAAAGGGTCAGAGGTCAGACTGCTGCAGAGGGAGGCCCGACACCGACAGCCCCACCGTGTTTGTGCCGTTTGGTGCGTTTTAATGACAACAGGCTAGGCGAGCCCAGGGAGGCGGAGCTCTGGTTTGATGAGAGAAGTTTGCTCCACCCTTTTGTCCAAACTGCTGGAGACAAAAAGCTCAAATGTAAAAAGCAGGACCTCAGGAGTGACTTAAACCAGCGGGTGATGTCTGTGTTCTGGAGGTCAGAGGTCAGAGTGTGTGGTTGCCCCTCACGCTTGGCAAGGGCGGGGTTTTAAAGGTTTGAGTGTTTGATGCTGGTCTGTGAGGAAATCTGCTGCGTCTCTGGGATTTCCTGTGTGTGTGTGTGTGTGTGTGTGTGTGTGTGTGTGTGTGTGTGTGTGCGTTTCCACTGTTGCATATTAAAAAGGGAACTGACTGATGAAAGCAGCTGTTTCAGCTGAAATGTCTGTGATAACTCAGCAAACACAGGCTGGTGCGTTTGATTTCAAGACCAGGGCGCGCCGTCTGATGTCACATTTATTTAACGAGGTCGGACCCCTCAGGTGTGTGCAGACAGCAGGCGACACGAGCAGATTCTACCTGTGAATCAGCTGCTGCTCGAGCTCCGAGCCCGAGCCCGTGTTCACCTGGTGCAGACTGGGTTTATGAACTGGTGCAGACTGGCTCAGTGTTGGTTTGGACTTTCAGCCCATGCGCGTTCCTGTGTCACGGAGCTGAGTGGGTTTGTTTCATGTTTGATGTTAAACTCGTGTTTCAGGCTCACCGCGTGGGCCGGGCCTGGTCTTGGTCTGAAGGTGCCAGGTAACGGTGTTCGGGGGTTTTCCTTTCCTACTAAACGGTTATTTTGTCACCGGGGGAAGTTGTGTCGTATCTGCACAGGATGAAGTATTTTAGTGTTTACCACAGCAGCTGACTGTGACTCACTACAGCTCAGTTTCTCCTTTTCTTATTCTGCTTTTAGATCAGCTCAGGTCCAGCTGAGGCTTTTCTGACTCTTACACAGAACCTGGTGACAAACTGGGATTGTGCTCATGGAGGCTGGTTTGGTTTTACCCTGGGTTGGGATGGGCTCGTTTGGGGTCTGATTCATCTTGGACCTTGGTTTTGGACCAGTTTCAGGCCGGTTGAAACTGGTCTGGCGAGCTCCTGTAGGCGGGTCCGTCTCTGATGCTGGGATGGAAACTCCTCGGTGGGCGGTGTCGTGTGTGGATGTGCAAACTGCTGAGGGGGTGGAGGTGTGCTCGGTGACGACGGACAGCAGGTTTGTGTTAAAGAGATAACGCCGTGTTTTATCACCTCGCTGCGTGACGTCATTGATGAATAGGAAGCAGGTCGCCTGTCCGCTTCCTGTTTGCCAGCTGACCTCTGACCCTCCGATTGCTGAACTTCCTCTTCAACTGGTCCCTCTCACTTTCACCTTGCGATGACAGCGACGAGCGCGGCGCCGCCCTGCACGACTGAATATCTCCTCCTCACAGAACAGGAAGGAAAGCAGCTGTTTGGACGTCTGCTGACATCAGCTGTAAAGTTTAAATCGCGTCTGAGCTGAGGAAGCGGCCGTGTCATCAATAAACCATGAAGAAGAGTCGCTCTGATATTCTCAGGTGAAACGGAGACGCTGAGCGTTTATGCTGAGGTGGAGCGCGACTGAAAAACGCTCGTTTTAAACTTAAAGCTGTGATCGGAGTCCGAACGCCGTCGCTCACGCTGAAGTTTCCCGGGTTTCCCGAACGCAGCGCTCAGCTGGTCTGTAATTCATGTTTGATGTTAATATCAAATGATTGTTTGCCTGCGCACGGCGGCCATGTGATCATGTGCCTTTTTAAATCCATACTAACTCCATACTAACTCGGCACACAGCTGTGCCCGCTGATGGAGATGTCTTCAGGTTGCCTAGCAACCAGCTAATCACAGCACTGTAACGTGAACATTAGTGACATCAGCAGAATCAGTAAAAAGTTTTTATTTCACGTTTTCCTGTCATTTGTTTGTTTTTTCTTTTTAGCAGATTCATTTTCTGATTATTGTTTATTTGGATTTGATGGTCCGTTCACTTCCGGTCCGTTCACTTCCTGTCCGTTCACTTCCTGTCCGTTCACTTCCTGTCCGTTCACTTCCTGTCCGTTCACTTCCTGTCCGTTCACTTCCTGTCTGATCTGAATGAGCAGTGATGTGTCGAGTTTTTAAATCGGGTTCTTCGCTGTGACGTCACGTGATGGCGTGAAAACATCAGTGAGAGGCTCCACAGCCAATCAGAGGAGAGTTTACAGTTAGAGAAGACTGATTTGAAACAAACACACACACACACACTCTTCAGTTTAATCGCACGTCGTAGCAGAATCAGCGTCGGTGTTTACCGTCACGCTCCGTCAGGGCGGATCCACACAGCAGCCTCTCTGCTGCTCTCTCATTGGTTGATTCGGGGCTGTGAGTCATCGTCCCGACCTCCAGTGTGTGTCAGATTCAAGGTCCAGTAATAATCTAACTAATTTGAAAAAGTAATCTATTACCCTGGAGCGTATCAGAGTTGGTGTAAATACCGGCGTTGGGCCACGCCTGCTGGTGATGTCACGTTTGCAGTAATGTATTTGGTGTGACTGACTGTATTTTCTGCTGCTGTTCATCTGCAAGCTGCTTTGCAGCCCGCCTGCTGTGGTGACCTGTGCTCTCTGTCCTGCAGTGGAGGATCGACAGGAGGCATGACCGAGGAGAAATGTCCCCAGCTGGTGGACTACTTTGTAGTGGCTGGCCTGGACCCCGCGGGGCCGTGGAGGCCCCTGGACGAGGATGGGAAGGCCGCCGCCTCCTCGACGACGTCCTCGTCTTCTTCCTCGACGGGCCGGGCGGCAGAGCCCGTGACGGACCTGGTGGTGATCGCCCGGGGGCTCGGGGAGGACGTTCCCGAGGGCTTCACCTGCATCGAGAAGACGCTGGGCGGACACTCAGCCGAGCTGAGCGCCGGCCTCATCAACAACCCGCACCTGTACCTGTGTTACCGCCGAGGGCGGGACAAGCCGCCCATCCTGGACCTGGGGTGAGACGCACACACGTTTGTGGTTATGAGCTGTGATGTGTTTAAATCCTCAGACTGGTGCCGGCACGATTTCCACCTGAGAGCCGACTGATTTTGTCGATTCAGAGTTGAAGCTGAATCAAAAAACGTTTTCTTCGTGAGAATTTAACGTTAAAAACATTCGACGTGTTTTATTTTGCATCAGCTGTATATCAATAAGAAATCCTCTTATTCTTTTTCATCCAGCGCTCGTTTCGTGGTGTCTGTCTGTAACAGCTGGAGCGTGCGAGGCTCTGATGCAGCTGCAGGGTCTCTGGCTCGTGCGGTGCTTATTAAAGCCGAGGTTATGTCATCCACAGGATTATGTAACGCAGTGGGCAGGCCGTCGTGCTCGCCTCGTTAGTTTACACTCAGTGTTGGGAAATAACGAGCTTAGTCCTTTCAGATTAGGTGTTTCATGGAGTGTAGCAGCAGGTGGAGCTGCAGGTTTGGACAGACCTCCAACCTCAGAGGGAACCCAGCCTTGTCCGCCTCCTGTTAGCAGGATAGGTGACAGTGGGGAGGAAGAACTGTGTTTAAACAGGAAGGACAGTCATCTGAGGGCCTGGTTGGGGTGAGGGAGGGAGAGGGTGAGAAAAGGTGTGAGCAGCGTTCCTCCCTGCGGCGGTTCAGGCTGTGGTTAGCGATCATCGCACTGATGGTGCGACCGATGGAGGCGCTCTGATGCACTGCCCTGTCTGCAGGGTTCTGTACGAGGGGAAGGAGCAGCTGAAGCAGGGCTGGTACGTTATTGAAACCACGCCGTACAGCCGCTCGGCGAGCCTGAGCGCGGGCGGCGCCCCCACGGCTCATCGGGTCTTCCTGACGTACCGCCGGGCTCCGGACTCGCAGGGCCTCCACATGCTGGGCGTCACCGACATCGCCCTGCTGCTGCCCAGCAAGGGCGAGGTGGCGCCGCACACCTTCTGCAGAGTCGACAAGAACCTGAACACGGGCATGGTGAGTGCGCGGAGGCGGGGGTGTTTCAGGGGTTTGAGCCCCCTGTGAGTGCTGCGTCACTGACCCTGTCGCTGTGCTGCTGTTTGTGTGTCTGCAGTGGGGCCCAGCACTGCACGTGTGCTACAAGAGAGCCGTGGCTACAGCCAACGCCCTGGTGTTCGAGGCCGGTGAGTACCCGCGTGACCCCGTGTGTTTTCAGCCTCCTGCAGGAGGCGAGAGTTAGAAACGCTGCAGAGACACGGGGAGGTTTCCCCAGTCTGTGCAGCACAGCTCCCAGCTGCTCACATGGGTGATGGTTTTCATCATATGGAGCTCCCAGTACGCTCCCAGTGGAAAACCAGAAATGAGGGTCGCAATAAATCCAACAGGAAAAGTCAGGATCTGTGCTGGAGTAATCAGAGTATCGCTGCCCGCAGATCTGATCAGCCGCTACCCGGAGGAGGACCTGGACTCGTTTCCTCTGCCCGAGTCGGTGCCGGTCTTCTGCCTGCCGATGGGCGTCACCGTGGAGAGCTGGCCTCAGAACACCAAGTACCAGCTGCCCGTCTTCTCCACCTTCGTCCTCACCTCCGCCTCCGGGGACAAGGTAGGTTAACTGGAACCACAGATGATCAGCGGGTGGAGGTGATCCGTTGTGTTGTTTACTGTGCAGTTACAACTTTGATGCTTTAAACCATTGTTACACAGAGCAGCGAGGTCGTCTTTCAGTCCGACCTCTGAACCATAAACTGGCTCCTAACTCGAGCATGAACCGCTGTTACGTCTCCATCTTTGCTTCGTCCCTGCAGGTTTACGGCGCCGCCATCCAGTTTTACGAGTCGTTCTGCAGAGAGCTGCTGTCGGAGCGGCAGAGCATCCGCCTCGGTCTGCTGAGCGTCGTCGACCGGCGGCCCATCACCAACCGCAGCCTGCAGGTGAAGAAGAGCATCTGCGTCCTCTCTCACTGGCCCTTCTTCACCGTCTTCCAGAAGTTCCTCACCTTCGTCTACAGATACTCCATCTCCGGGCCCCACGTGCTGCCGATCGAGAAGTCCGTGAACAGTCTTCTCTCTCGGTCAGAGGCCTTCACACCGGCCTCTGACCGATAAACGCCTGCCGGCTGATTAAAAACACGTTATCACGTATGATCTGTGCACAGAAGCGATGTGTGCTGATGTCCGTTTCCTGTTTTTTTTTTGTTCCCCTCCTGCAGACACATCTCCAGCTTCATGCACAACGTCCCGTTTCCTTCCCCGCAGCGTCCTCGAATCCTCGTTCAGGTAAGACCCAACGAACCGACCGTGCAAATGTTTCGCCTTCTGAAAGTTCACAGCGCTGTCATGTTGTTCCGCACTGATACAACAAACCTGACGCAGGTTTGTGTGAGCTGGAGCAGGAAGTGTTTGTCCTCCAGGTCATTGCATTTGCATTAGATTTCTTCCTGCAGAGCGCCTCGACGCTGCACGGTGGACAAATGTGTTGTTTGTGTGACTGCTTCCTGTGGCAGCTCTTCCTCCCCACAGTTGCCAAGTTTTCCCTCTGATGGACGGTGTCAATAAAACTGAGATCAAACGTGACTGACGTTGTGTAATTATCCTCATGTTGTAGATCGCATCGTGTTTTTCTGATGAAACGCGTAGATGGACGAAAACGCTGTGACTTTATTCTTTGCTCCCTCCTGACAGGACGCAGGAGGCGATCTGTTTGCAGAACAAACCGGGTAACGGCGCCCACTCAGAGCCTCTCCATGAATCACTCTCATCCTGAAATCATGATTTTTAACAAGAAACAAACCTGGGTGATGATCAGTGAGGGCTTCACGTGTGATTTTACTTGATTTGGATTAATCACGTCACAGTCGCTCGTTTATTCCTGGACTTTACCAGTGCGGCTTTGCATGAGTCACAGTTCAGAATAATCCTTCTTTGTCTGGTACTCTGTTCAAAGATCCTTTTAGTTCTTGAGAAGATGGGGTGTGTGTGTGTGTGTGTGTGTGTGTGTGTGTACTGATGCCAGCTGTGTGTGTTCGCAGCTCTCGCCGTACGACAACCTGCTGCTCTGCCAGCCTGTCTCCTCGCCGCTCCCGCTCAGGTGAGTGCCAGCTTTATCCAGACGAACTAAAGTACCTTTACTGTCATGCCTGTGTTTGACCTTTGACCCCTGTGTGTTTACGATAGCGGCGCGAGCTTCCTGAAGCTGCTGCAGAACCTCGGCCCAGAAAACGCCTGCACGCTGCTGCTCGCCGTCCTCACCGAACACAAGCTGCTGCTGCACTCGCTCCGACCTGACGTCCTCACCTCCGTCAGCGAGGCCCTCGTCTCCGTAAGACACGCACACGCCCTCATTCCAAATGACAAAAGTCCCAATGCTTCATCTTTATTCTCGTGGGCCAATTAAAATGAGGGCCCCCGCTGGCCCCTGAGCCACGGATTGAAAACACTGAATCCAAAGCAAATCTACAGTTTGTTCCGGGCGGGAGGATAAATCTTTCCTTGTGATCCCGTCAGCAGGTTCATGGTTTGCAGACAGGCCTGAATCTGTCCTGGAAGTTTGTAACTCTCGTTTCTGTGTCCAGATGACGTTCCCGCTCCGCTGGCTCTGTCCCTACATCCCTCTGTGCCCGCTGCAGATGGCAGACGTGTTGCTGGCACCGATGCCCTTCATCGTGGGCGTCCACTCCAGCTACTTCGACCTGCACGACCCCCCCACCGATGTGGTGTGTGTTGACCTGGACGCCAACACCATCTTCCAGTGAGTCTGACGCCACCTGTGCACCGAGCCCAGGATAGATGGTTAAAAAGCTCCCTTTATTCGTATCTTCAGCAGTCTTCTTCCTGCATCTGCTCTGATAATCTTTGATTATCCACAGGAACCAAACAGTTTGTGTATCCGGCTGTAAACATGTTTATTTCTGCTGAATAGTTTTAACACAGGAGTCTATGGGGCTGCCTGTCTGCTGCCTCTGCTGGACGCCAGAGGAACTGCAGCATTTGATGTTTCAGCATTATCTTCATTGGAGAAAACTTTCCTCCTCCTCTTCCTCGTTTCAGGTCAGATGACAAGAAGCCACTGTCATGGCGTTCGTTACCCAGGAAACACGGCAAGATGCTGTTCAACGTCCTCACCAACCTCCACAAGACGCTGGAGAAGAGTGAGCGACTGCAACGGCTGAACACATGAACCAGTGTGTAAACAGGGTTGTGTCATTTAGTGACTCTCACTTCTTGTGGCTGCAGTTTGCACTCCCGGCCAGGAGGAGGCGACGCTGGAGTTCCTGCTGACCGACTACGACCAAATCTACAGGCGTCAGAAGCAGCTGGAGCTGGAGATCCAGGAGGCCTTCCTGCGCTTCATGAGCTGCCTGCTGCGAGGCTACAGAGCCTTCCTGCTGCCCATCACGCAGGCGCCGTCCGACACCACCACAGACTGCAGCTCCCTGTTCAACCTGCAGGGTGCGCCCTTCGTAACGTTGGCGGCTTTTGTGTGCAGAGCTGTGAATCGGGGCGTGTGATGCACACGCTGTGAGTGAAGCTGCGCCTCTTCCTCTTTGTGCCGCAGGTTTCCTGAAGTCTCGCGATCGAACGCAGCAGAAGTTTTACACCCAGCTGACCAAGACGCAGATGTTCACCCAGTTCATCGAGGAGTGCTCGTTCGTCAGCGACCGCCACGCCTGCCTCGAGTTCTTCGACGAGTGCGTGCAGAAGGTCAGAGCGGCGATGCTTTCTCGCGTTGCTCGGCTAGCGCCCAGCTAAGGTTTTGATTGGTGTTCTCTTGCTAAGCAGGTGGACGTGGAGAAGCCGGAGGAGGTGAGGCTGATCGATCTGGACGAGACGCACAGCGGCGAGCACACCGTCTTCATCATGCCTCCCGAGGAACCGCAGGAACCTGATGGGTCTGAGTGCCCCGCCCTCTACAGGTACAGCTCCGCCCTCAGGGGCCGTGGAAATGGGGGCCGTGGAAATAGGTGGGGTGGCTTGTTTGCTGTGGAGGTGGGAGGATGGTCAGGATGTTAACCCAGGTGACCCGTTTCCTTCTGTATGTTAGCCAATGAGCTTCCATCCTTCTGCCATCACGGAGCGTCTCGATGTGAACAGACCGTTTCAACACTTTTCATTAAACACGTTTTTATTTGCTGCGTGCAAACAGACTGAATGGCGTCCTCTCGGGGAGGAGGAGCCACGTCAGCCGTACCACCTGCTCACACTTGTTTCCCTCTCACCTGTCCAGTTATGAGACCTTCCCCACCCTCAAACTAGAGCTCTTCGACCAGCCCCAGGACCAACTCCGCGTCCCAGCCAAGGGCAGCGCCCCCAGTAGCCCCGCCCCCCGCCGCACCAAACAGGTAAGACAAAGATGCTGAGCAGAAATGATCTGGTCCCGTGTTGTGTTCATTCGTGTGTACAGAGCACGCTCCGACGGGAGCAGCGATGCGTTCAGGGGAGCGCCGCGCGTGGAGGTTTCCTCCCATCCTCTGAGCTGAAGCTAGCTGTGACCCAGTTTCCCTCAGAGTGGAGGCGAGAGGAGGAGCTTTAACAGGCGTCCATTCATCATTGTAATTTAATGAACTGGTATCAATATTTCAGCACTCATTAAACATGCAGAGGCCACAGACGGCGTGACTGAGAGCGGCACAGACGGTGTTTTCTGATCTGAGCAGGAGGAGAGCATGCTGGGAGGATTTAGTCATGTACACATCGCAGCAGTGCTGTTAAAGCTCCTCCTGCAGGAGAGCTGCAGTTTCATCAGTGGGAGTGAATCTCATTTCTACTGCTCGCTGAAAACCGTCACAGCCTGCAGTTCCTCCCATGTCCACTTAAGGCTCCACGCCTAGCCTCAGCCCGCTCTCTGCTGTCGTCGAGCTAACTCACTGGACGCTCTGCAAACACAGACGACAGGCATCCTGATTAAACTAATAGTCATAATATCAGAGCTGTGATTGGTTCCTGTGAGCGATGCTCCTGGAAGTGCTGACACTCTGTGCGCAAAGAGCTGCATAAGAGCAGCGTGCTGCTGCGACGCCGGTCAGCTGTTAGACCGCTAACATTCAATAATGAGTCCGATCCTCAGCTGGACTCTGAGTGCTGTGAGTTTAAAGTCTGAGATTATGACTCAGGTCAAACTGTCACAGGTTTGTAGGCTGGCGTCGGTGCTGGGAGCAGAGGAAGGGATCCTGATTCTGCTGGTCGGAGACCAGTGCAGGCTTCCACTCTGTAAACCCTGCAACAGACTCGGGACCGTGTCCTGATCTGGAGCTCCACAGGGTTCTGTCTCGGGACCTCGTCCTGTTTTCTTTGCACGTGCTCTCTGCAGGTCGATCACCAACATTTACAGCTGTATTTAGTAGAGGTGCAACGATACTCAAAATTCACGGTTCGATATTTTTTCGATACAAAAAATGTTCATGCCTTTTTAATTTGTCATTTATTAAAATTATAAATAT